AAACTCTTAATACTGATTTGATTTGTTTAGATCAAGTTTACATAAAATAAAAGTAGAGTGGTACAAAAGACAAGGAACACAAAATATATAGAATATAAAATAAGAGTGAACTTGACAGAATGGGCCGTGAATTAAAGCTCGAGAGCTTATTAACAATGAGGTACTCTTTACCAATGATCAACAGACCAGTCTTTCCATCGCACCAACATTAACAGCTCATTGCAAATCTCCTACGGCACTACCACTACCATCAAATCCTGTATTTTATCCAAAAGATCTATACAAAGATTCGATAAAATCCATAAAAACCTTAATTTTGATTTCTGAAAAAGATACTGACATTTTCCGGCTGCTGTAAATTTCTTATCTCTTAAAAATATAGATTGAGTGAAAGGTGGTAAATATGTATATAACATGATATTAATGATTGGTAATGAATAACATGTGAATGACGTTCGCGTACTTCTGTTGAATCCGTCAAGAAGACATCTTAAAAAACATATCTATTATTAAACTATGTTGTATTGTTACTGTATATAGTTTCCAGGTATCGCTTAATCTACTGTAATTATCAGCTTTGAATGGGATATACAGTCAAACCTGCTATAGTGACAACCTGTCTACAAAGACCACCTGTCTACAACAACCTCATGTTTTGTTTCCCTTGAAAATGGTTTCTCATTGAAACATGTACTAAAGGAACCTGTCTACAAAGACCACTTTTTGTGTTTTCCTTGGGCGGTCGATATAGACAGGTTTGGCTGTAGCACTATAGAGGAACGAACTACTACCATTATTATAATCATTATTATCTGTATTTTTCTAATTGTAGTGTGTTTTATTACTAAGCTTCACTAAAGTTGAGTAGGTAAGGGGCTCAAAACACAGCGAAAACGAAGAAATAAAAAACATAATGATCTTACACATATACAAAGTCAAAACTGGCAATGGCGCCAGTTGCCAGAAAATCAATCAACCTACTTCTTCGCATTGTGCTTCCAAATGTAGATGATGGTCATAGAGGACGTGGTACAGCAAAGGCCTTTGTCATCATTTATAAAAGACTAGCCTTTTCTTGAACTTGTATCATAGCAACCGCGGGATAAACAATTAAGCTAGCTATGTTTGAAACGGGAAAACGGTAAAATGGAAAAGGAAAAGGGAAAATATGTTAACCAATTGCATTTTGGACAACTTAAGAATTAATGTTGTGTTAATGTACCTCATTCCATGGATGTAGATTGGGTAAGAGTGGACTGAGACGCCGGCCCCCCACTCAGTGTTATTTAGGGTACGCATATGCATGTTCCCTCCTTTTGAAAGCACACCCCCCCCCCCTCTCCCTAAGTCCGGTGTGTAAAGTCAATACGGGCCGGATTTTTGTGAAGTTTTGTATTAAAGTGCCCCTCCCCTGTTCCATATACGTAGATTAGGTAATAGAGTAGTTGAAATTTGGCACTTTCGATTAAACACAAATAAAGATCTCCTAGTATATGTATATACATCGAAGCAATAATTGTATGTGATAGCAAGCAATATTTTCAAAGTTTACGCATATTTCCTAAATGGAGAAACAAATGATGAATTTTGAGCAGAATATTCTGAACCTATTTTTTCTTGAAAAGTACGCAATAATGTTTTCCAGTACAAAGAAAATCCGTGTTTTTTAGAACATATTTTACCTAAAATATTAAAAAGTCATCGTATAGCTCAAGGCAACATGCTCGACATTATGCTCATCTTACTTGATTAGATAGCATGCACACCCATTATTATTATGGATAGAAGAATTTAATCACGATGGATGGCAAGGTTATGGAGCTGTTTTGTTCTGCATCCCGGTGCCTAGCAAATCATGGTATTGATCAGAGCTCATATTCTATTATTAACTCAAGGATAAAATCTTTAAATTGCCAAGTAGCACGTAATGCATAAATTATTCACTTTCCGATCAAGAACCCATTTCAAATGCATGAACAGGGAGTGCTAATGAAAAATAAACTGTTGTCGAATAATTCCGGTATTATTACGTTCAGGACAAGAAAACTCAATTTAAAGTGCTTTAACTTTATATTAAAACGTTATACAATTCAACATAACGCTAAAAAGGTATTATTGGAAGCTGTTATTACATTCTCTTTTGTCCGCCTACAAAACCCATAACCAGCTTTTGTTGAATGGGCTACCCTGGTAAAACAGTAATATCAATGACTGAATAAATGAATACATTTCTATGCAAAAAATCTGTCCATTATTCAACTCTATAATTTTTTCTTTTGTCATTCCGTGAAATTATGAAAATATATTAATATCAATAGAGCTATTTTAACAAGACAAAGCTATATAACAAACATATTCTCCTGCGTTTAATTAACCCCAGCTTTACCCGAACTATCATGAAATGGTGCTCAGTCAGGCCATATTATTCTTGCTACCGGGTCCCCATTTACCTCACCTAGATCTACAGTAGCGATTGAAGAGTAATGTCTTACGAAGGAACGATAGTGCCGTTACGGGGTTTCGAACCACGTATCATTTGATCAACAGTCTGGTGGCTTATCCACTAGACCAAGGTATACTAACAAGAATCAGCGTGGAAGTCTATGGTATAGTGGTTCATTCATTTGACTCTTCATCTAAGGGTTAAAGGTAATACAAAGTTTTGGGAAATTTTGAAAACTGGGTGGATAGTGATTCTTTACAATTTTGATATATTTGGATGCCCCTGTGGATGTTTTATAAGCAATAGAAAATTTAGCCCCTTAAACATTTCTGCTTTCGATAAACATTAAACAAAAAAAATTACCGGTACTTCCGGTAAATTTGATAAATATAAAATAGCGCCTACGGCCGTTTAATGGTAACTGCGACCGTGAAAATCTCAGAATATGTAAGTTGTGATAAATAATTTCCAAATGGGAATTGCTTATCGGTCGATTTTAGTCAAGAAACATATTTTGTATAGCTTAATTGATATCTTGACCTTGAGAGGGGCTATACAACATAAAGAGTTATTATTTTCAATTTCATACCTTTAGACTCGATTTCAACCGCGACGACGATCAATGAATATTGTCGGATCGTATAATGCTTCCAATATGTTCATTTGAACCAAATTCATGACCCCATACCAAAACTTTGTAATACTTTTAAGGGCTCGAATCCCAGCCCGGCACAAAAGTCTTTTGGAAAGATAATTAATCGCCATTTTCCAATCTCAACCCAGGTATAAATAGGTACCTGGCAATTGCTGGGCTAATAATAATTGCTTAATTGCAATAATAATAATACTGAAGAGGCTTCCCAAGGTATAATAAAAAAATATATCACTACGGTCATACATAATAATTCTTTGAATAGCAATGATTATGTGATAAAACTGTTCCATCAAAGATAAAGTCGTGTGTCTCGTTATTGCCTGGTGCTTCGTACCATTAATAACGGTTATCAGTTTGTTTTATCCGCAACACTTTCAGGCCATTATCTGACATGATATATATTGATCCGCGAACATAATTAGCAATGTTTCGCATGATCTGTTTGCTTGATCACGCCTGTTATTCCCTCGCGATCATTGGAGCTTAATATTGTCAATCGGATGAACGGCGCCTTTGATCTGGCAACTAGATTATAGGCCCGTTCACAAATAACAATTAGAGCGATATGCATCGAATTTTTGGATCGAATTTGTATTTTGCGACCGTTCACACATGTCAATTTAGTGCGAATTGGATCGCGATGCAAAGGTTGATTTTTTGGGGCAAACCATTCACACACAGGCCTTGGAGTAGTCTCGCTCGACGACAAGAACGTCGACCTGCGCGCATGCGTGAATCTCGACGAAGTATGCGCGCTTGGAATCCTTGGATTAATAAATCGATTTTGGATTCTCAATACCATTCACACACACAGCGCCCGGCAAACTATCGCGATTATTCTGAAAAATCGCAAGACTTAGTGCGTATTGAATTAGTGCGCAATGCGAATCGCGAACATAGGTGTAATTTTCTGTTCACACACGCACACACACACACACACACACAAAATGATTTTTGGATTGAGATGCAAAAATAATTTTCTATACATCTCACTTTTTTGTGTAGGTGTGAACGCCCCTATTAGCGCTGTACATGGATGGGATGGAATTGAACTGGATACACATTAACGATCGGGTAATAATTGGGGCAGGCGGTTACAGCAAACGAGTAATAATGACTATGGGGCCACGTGAAAGACTATTGACGACATTAAAATGGTTATTGCTTTAAAGCTTCTTTTATCGAGCAAATAATGTTCAATTCATTTCAGTTCAAAGTAGCATCATTATTCTTCTGTTATCGAAATGCTGAAATATAAATGGATTAATGTACATACATAAAGACATAAACAATTGATTTCAAACAGTTTATCTTAAAATTGCCAAAGTTTGATACTGTCAAGTACTATCATATTTTATTGTTTGATGGTTTCGTGATTTTTTTTGTACGACTTTTCGGTAAGCATGTGAATGCTTGTAAGTATGCAACCAGGAGACCGATGGCTTTACGTCCTCTCATAGGGACTTGGTAATGAGCATTAATGGCTCACTAAAGGGCGCCAGCGAATCCACGTCGTTTCAAATCCGGGTCTTCCCATTTACGAGACCTGTCACTGCTCTACCGTCGAGCCATCTTGCCTTCTCGGAGGAATACACTACACGTGTTTCGAGTATCAGTGGGGTTTAAAATGTCATAAAAATAAAAATCGGGACGGATTTTTTAATGGCGCATGTTTGTATAGTCCCATATGCATCTGTATGTGTACAGTGCTTGTAACTCGACCAAGACTGGGCCAAATTCCTTATCATTTTGATGATTCCAGAACCTTGCAGTACACACCAATACTTATATGCTAGATGATCAAACTTTTCTGATCGATTCAACGTTTCTTTCAATCGCATGAACAGAACTCAACTTTGTCTTTAAACTTGTTATTCTTTTTCGCATTTTCGTATCTTCCAGGTCTATGGGATGAGGTAGTAATTCTGCGGCCTATTTTCAGGCAGCACCAAACATCACTTCGGATATGATCATACCCACGGATGCAAATATGTCAACTGTTACAACACCAATGGTAAGTTCACAATCTTTAAACCGGTGTGTTGGCTGGCTCAGTCGATAGAGCGTCCCCCTCACAACCGGGAGGTCGTGGGTTCGAAGCCCGGCCGCGTCATACCAAATCGTCAACTGTTATAACATCAACGATAAGTTCGCAATCCTAAAATTATGAAATATGAAATGAAATGAAATAACCTGTAGCTATTACAGGCAAACCTTTCTTATAGCGACCGTCCAAGGGAAACATAATCTTTGTAGACAGGGGGTCACTTAAGCAGGTTTTAATTTATTTTTGTCTTCGACGAGAAGAGTTGCGGTGGACGTTCGCATTTTGGAAGGCTCTTTTTGTTTTCTTCTCGATGATTCACTTTTTGAAAGGTTCATCGATAAAACAAAAACGACTGATAAGGGGTTAATTATTCCGTGTAACGTTTGCAATTGCAAAAATGAATTATGTTTCGATGTTCCGAAGGTTCGACATTTCGAAAATTAAATGGGGTTCTATATAATTTTAGGAGTCATGAACGCTATTTCATTCCAGGAGCAAAGCTTGATGATTTATCTATTCTATAACCATATGTCTTTATCGAGCTTACACTTCCACTGCTTGGTGACTTTTATTATCTTTGAATGCGAACGTTGACCATGGATGACATCCCAAAGCGCTTTTTATCCAGTGCAACTACATGTTTTATCACTTAATGCAATTAGGCCATTAAACCAAATGATAATATGTATATCGACCAATCTTAAATTATACAATATTGTGTTGCGCTGATTGGTTGTAAAGAGACTTCAGTGGAAAGCGCTTTATAAGCACCTTTTTTATTATAAATATGGAAAGCGGCCAAACTGAATCACATGACAATGTAGACAAACCAAAAGTAGGCGAAATGATATTAGACTGATTTGATAGTGGGCGGAGTGGTTAGAAATAAATTGTAATTCGAACGAGTAGGCCATTTGCCGTATTGGCGTTAGATAAAAAAAGACAATAAACTCCGATTATTATCAATTTCAGAATGAAGCAATTATTTCAAAGTGTATTGAACCTTCCGATTGGATATACCTTTGTTACATGGAATTTTAATCTCTTTATTCGGAGGGCAATGTACAATATTTTGATATTTCATGGGCCAATGATCTTAACGATTCGTGAGATAATCCTAAGTGATGAGAGCTTATGTTTTGACACATTTAGTAAATGTCATATTTTGTATTGAATTGTCTGATTTTCTTACAACACAAACGATCATCTCCTCATTTTGAAGTATTCCATCGAGATATAAAGGTGATACATTGGATTGATGGTCTATAATAATTATGATAAAGATGATGATATCGATAATGATGATGATAATGTTGATGATGATGATAATGTTGATGATGATGATGATGTAGTGAAGATGATGATTATGTTGATGATGATGATGAGGTAATAATAATAGTTATAATAATGAGAGTAATAACTTACATGTAACTGTAACCAAGGAATTAGTCATGCAGGAATTATAATTTGAGGGGACGGGTGAGTCAGGGTGGAGGTGGAACCATAAAGGGTAGTATCGCCGCACTAACACGTTAAAGGTAAAGACCAGTATTGGAAACGTCCCAATTTCAAAGAATGAAATGGAACCTCTTATTACCAATCATTTGAAAGAATATGTTTTGAATAATACATGATGATAACAATGTTGCCGGGAAACCGCTTACTAATTGATATATTTGGGAAATTAGTTTATCTATTGGCGTGTGAGAGATATAACGCACGTGTTAGGTACGTGTGCGTAGCCTCTTTCTGTGTACAGTGCTTGTAACTTTACCAAGACTAGACCAAATTTCTTATCATTTTGATGATTCCAGAACCTTGCAGTACACACCAATACTTATATGCTAGATGATCAACCTTTTCTGATCGATTCCACAACGTTTCTTTCACAATGCAATCCCATGACCACCACTGGTCTTTATCTTTAACGATCGATGTTGACCGAGTGCTGTAGTCGGAGCGGTAACGGGGAAAATATATACTGTCCCAAAACAATAGACCGGTACACTAACATATTCCAATTGTATGCATGCTTTTTAAATTGCTTTCAAATGCTTTTTAAACAAAGGTTGTTCTTAACATCCTAAAAGCTTGCCCGACATAGCAACAAGTCATCAACGTATACTGGATTTTAATTCTTGTAGTTCATTCATTAATGCAAGTTTAATGGAATAACACATCGTCTCTAGGTCTCCGGAAAAGTTAATTAGTAAACCGGTCAATGAATTATCCCTTTTTTTTTTCTTTCTTTTTTTTTTTTTTTTACAGACGGCTACTCCGACAACAATTGATTCGCTTCCACCTGAAGTAACGGCAGCTCTCATCATCTCTATCATCCTCATCTTCTCAACACTCATTATGTTAATATATGCAAATAGGTGAGGCATTATGCTAATATATGCAATATGTGGTACTTAATGCTATCATTATGCAAATAGGCAAATAGGCAAGACGTTATTTTGATATCATCAGATCATGCAAATAGTATGAATTAGTAGTAGTAGTAGTAGTAGTAGTAGTAGTAGTAGTAGTTGTGGGTTTATTTTACCTGACTGCTAGGAAAGCATACATGCTTGTTAGTAAGCAACCAGAGGACCAACGGTTTAAGTCCTCTCTGAGGGAACCATACGAAACGTGAATATTTTATTATCATCTTCTCAACCCCTGTGTTAATATATGCAAACATGTGAGTTGTTTTGATAATATCATGCAAATATGTGAGATATTGTCATATAGTACATACAGTAGAGGATCAACATTAATGTGTGATGAAGTTGGGAGAGATCATATAAATGGGCTAACTATACGCACGCGGTTACTAAAAATATATTAGAATGAAATTTAAAAAACAAAATATTTGCAAGCCTGAAATTATGGAACTAGTAATTATTTATATCAGACTTTATTCTCGCCTTTCGTTTTTTTTTTTTTTGGGGGGGGGGGCAGTTTAACCCTTAAATGTATATCCAAAGGATTTCTGCCATGTTAAATTACAAGCCACAATATTATTAAACCATTAGACTAATCCAGAAGTAGCGTGGATTTAACGGAATTCGCACGGCAAACGTCGCCATATAAGAGAGAGAGAGAGAGAAACAGATCGTAGAAAAGCTCATATAGTCTGAAATTTAGGCTACGTTGCGTAACGCGCTTTGTCAGCATATTTTAAGCAAGCACGTACTTTTGTTTCCATTTATAGACTGGTTACTGATAAATTTTGACTTTACAATTTTAAATGTTATGAAAATATAAAAAGAATTTGGGTCAAAAGTAGTCAATTCCATTTGCCAAAAAAAAAAAAAAAGAGAGAGGAAGAAAACAGCGCCACGAAATTTACAATGCATCGTCAAGATCGTGTCGTGTGAGACATTTGTATATAGGAAAGTGAATGAAAAACGCATGCCTCATTACTTTTCGAACACAATAACACCTTCAATTCATTCTCTTCAGGATGTCCACACTCAAGAGAGAAAAGTCTAAAGAAGTTCTGTCGTTCATGCTTAAAAGTCGAGAATAATCGAGAAGTGAATGTCTTGAGGTTTTGGGGCTTTCTAATCAATAATTTTTGTAACAAAATAAAAGCAAATCTTGTGGCAAAAAGAGTCAATTCCACTTGCCAAATACAACGAAGGAGAAGAAGACAGCGGCATTTTAAACGCAACTTACATTGCATCGCCAAAGTCGTGTCGTGTGAGACATTTGTTATAAGAAGGGAAAGGAAAAAAACGCATGGCTCATTAATTTTTAGACTACAATATCACCTTTAATTCCTTCTTATCAGGATGTCTACACGCAAGAGAGAAAAGTCTACTGAATTTCTGTCGTTCATGCAAACATGTCGATAATAATCGCTTAGTGAATGTAATGCGGTCTCTTCAGGCTTTCCAAGCGTTAATATCAGCTGACAGTTATTAAACCGCGATTTTAAATGAAAAAGTAAAATATCAAAGTTGAAAGCAGCTTTGCCTCCGATCTTGGTGCAGATTACATTTTCTTATATGGGGTGTTGCTGTTTTTACATAATTTCACAGTTTGTTATTTTCCGGACTGTTATACCAAAAATCACAACAGGGACTTTTAGATTTGCACAACGGAGAACGTGGACTACCCTTTTAAGGCAATGTGACGTCCTTTTAAGGCACTGGCAGTGACGTCACATTGCCTTAAAAGGACAGTCCACGTTCTCCGTCGTTCAAATCTAAAAGTCCCTAATACCTGGATCGGTGATGCTCTTTCGCACTGCCCGAGGTCACTCCGCGATGTCACATACCCTACAAAGAAATCCTATTTCTTTGTCAAACAACCCTTAACCTTTGCATTGATGTTGTTGTTGTTGTCGTCGTTGTAATAGCTGTTTAACAAAATCTACGTCATGATTACAAGACAATTTTGAACAGTAGAAATGAAATAAATGAAATGAATTAATATTATGATTATTTTCTCCCTAGGAGATTTGAGTCTGATCGAGCTATCACAGTGTGTTGCTTTCTATTAACGATGAGTGCCCAGCACATCACGCTCGTCAGCGGTCTCTATTCAACCTCCAACCGAGTAAGACATATTTTGTATCGTAAGACGGGTTCTAGAATCTAAACGATCCGATTGGTCAATTCACATCACGTGGTTAGTCAGTGCGATATCGATAACGCACCTCCTCTCCTGGCGCGTGCATTGCCATAATGGGCACTGAATAATCTTCGTGCACTGGCCCTGTCCTAACACACTCGCAACAGTGTATCATTTGTCATTTGTATACTTACATTGAAAATAATGTTGTTATAAGTTGTATATTGATTCTTTCCCTCTGATATGACGCGATATGACATAAATTTGATATAATGTATACTTCTTCATTTAGTTTTCCAATTTCGTTTTACTTGATTTTAATGTGCATAAATGTTAAATGGGTCATTAATTAATAAGCTTCATAAAATTCAAAATTTCAGTCTTTTAAGATTGTTTTTTAGAATTTGTATTGGGGATATTTGTTTGCCTCCATAGAGTTTGGTTTTGAAATTGGAGTAGTTTAAGGATATAACGAGGCAGCAAAAAACCACGGAAATTGTCAATCTTTTTCCTTTTGTTGTTTCCTTATCATGATATTCGTTCACAATCACTAACATCCTTTTCATCTTTTTTTCTTTTTTCTACGAATGATATGCGTTTATAATCGCTAAATCCCTTTTCCTCTTTTTCAATTGTTCAAGATATTGGTCTACAATCGCTTGATTTCTTCTTTTTCTTCTTATTTCTACTAATCATGATGTTCATTTAGATTTAACCGCTTAATGCATTTTCTTCTTTTTCTGTTATCTGCCCAGTCTATTTCTATTCTCTACCGACTACGTACTCCGCCTGGTGGCTTTATAAGATAGATGCGTACAGCCTCAACCCCAGTTCGGATTGATCGTAGTATACATTCATTCTCATGCATCATTTGTATAATAATCGTTAAATTCCTTTTCTCATTTTTCTATCCTCTCCAGGCTGCTTGTGTCGCCGTCGCGTTAATGATTCACTTCTTCGAATTATCTGAAGCATTTTGGACCTTAGGGATGATTGTTCAAATCGTCTTAAAGGTACTTGTGAATTTAATATTACTATCCTAAAAAACATATGTTTTTAAAAGGTCTTTCAACGGCTATGTGTGTTCTTCCAAAGGTTCTTCCTTGCAACTTAAGGTACATTATTCTGACGTTTCGAAATTAAGAATCTTATTTCATACTCGAAGAAATGCGCCCCTTCTTATAGGAAATTTGCCCTTTTCACAAGGTGATTTTATTTAAACCCTCCTGCACTTCACAACACACGAAAGACCCCAAAAATATAAAAACAAAGCAATAAATAAAATAACTGTGACACGATAGTGATGGGTTTTCATCAAATCTCCCCTTCGCTTTCTCGTTCTGCTCATGCGCATAATTAACATAATGAATATATAAAGGTTCTTAACACCCTCGACAACATTGGGACCGTATGGTTTCATGATACATTATATCATTTACGTTTTTGTTATTATTATCCCTATTAATATTTCCTTTGCAGGCAACGTATAAAACACCTGATATTGGTAGTACGTCCCAATATTGTGCCCTTGGATGGATAACACCTCTTTTCGTAGTAGCCAGTACGGCGGGATTGCAACTCGAAAAATATGGCAACCCCAGATAGTGAGTATAATTATATTAAAGGTAAAGACCAGTTTCGGAAACGCTTCCATTTCAAAAAATGAAATGGAAGCTCTTAGTCTTATTACCAATCACGTGAAAGAATTTGTTTTTACTAATACGTGATGATACAAATTTTGCCGGGAAACCGCCTATTGATTGATATATTTGGTAAATTGTTATACCCATCTGGACTGGATAGATATAGGGTAGTCCCATAAACATCTTTCTGTTTACAGTGCTTGTAACTTTGCCAAGACTTGGCCAAATTTCTTATCATTTTGATGATTCCAGAACCTTTTAGTATACACCAATACTTATATGATAAATGATCAACCTTTTCTGATCGACGTTTCTTTCACAATGCAATCGCATGAACAGAACTGGTCTATACCTTTAAAGTATGACAGTCACATGCATGCAAGGCTTCAGGCACATTCTTACTTACCCAAACAATGATAAGAATAACAATATATTTTGTGGGGGTGGGGTAGATAACACCTGCCATCGTAGTACCCGGTCTGACAGGGTTGCAACAGAAGAAAATGTCAACGCCAAAAAGTGAGTTTCAAATGAAACAATATATTGTTCTGTCGTTGTAGATGATACTTCAAAATCGAAGAATATCACCAAATGCAGACACACTGAAACAAAATTCTTGCACTTATCAGGATAAATCGGAAGATTGGATAGAAATCCGAAATCATGATCTGACAATATAAAAACGGAAGCTCAAAGGAACAAAGCGCACGAAAAATATAACGGGTTGTCATTGACTGCGGGAAAGTAGACCTAATGCCAGGCAGACTACAAGTTTCATTCTGTCTGTATTTGTTACCATTCTTCGATTTTGAAGTTTCATTTCTAATGACAGCACAGTCTTTTGTTCCATTTTGATACTCACTATCTGTCGTTGAGATAACTGAGTTTCAAACCTGCCGTACTGGGTGGAAATCCACTGTTTAAGAAGTGATTTAGCGATTATCTCGTTTTTAGAATGGAATCCACCCCAAAGATAGTATGAGGATTTTGCTTTTAAACTGGATTCACATGCCGCTTTAGATAAATTAATAGGGACTTTTAGATTTGCACGTCGACAAAGTGGACTGCTACGTGTCACGTCCTTTTAAGGTACTGTGATGTCCTTTTAAGGCACTGTCACGTTTTTTTTAAGGTACTGTGATGTCCTTTTAAAGCACTGTCACGTCCTTTTAAGGTACTGTGATGTCCTTTTAAGGCACTGTCACGTCCTTTTAAGGTACTGTGATGTCCTTTTAAGGCACTGTCACGTCCTTTTAAGGTACTGTGATGTCCTTTTAAGGCACTGTCACGTCCTTTTTAGGTACTGTGATGTCCTTTTAAGGCACTGTCACGTCCTTTTAAGGTACTGTGATGTCCTTTTAAGGTACTGTGATGTCCTTTTAAGGCACTGTCACGTCCTTTTAAGGTACTGTGATGTCCTTTTAAGGCACTGTCACGTCCTTTTAAGGTACTGTGATGTCCTTTTAAGGCACTGTCACGTCCTTTTTAGGTACTGTGATGTCCTTTTAAGGCACTGTCACGTCCTTTTAAGGTACTGTGATGTCCTTTTAAGGTACTGTGATGTCCTTTTAAGGCACTGTCACGTCCTTTTAAGGTACTGTGATGTCCTTTTAAGGCACTGTCACGTCCTTTTTAGGTACTGTGATGTCCTTTTAAGGCACTGTCACGTCCTTTTAAGGTACTGTGATGTCCTTTTAAGGTACTGTGATGTCCTTTTAAGGCACTGTCACGTCCTTTTAAGGTACTGTGATGTCCTTTTAAGGCACTGTCACGTCCTTTTAAGGTACTGTGATGTCCTTTTAAGGCACTGTCACGTCCTTTTTAGGTACTGTGATGTCCTTTTAAGGCACTGTCACGTCCTTTTAAGGTACTGTGATGTCCTTTTAAGGTACTGTGATGTCCTTTTAAGGCACTGTCACGTCCTTTTAAGGTACTGTGATGTCCTTTTAAGGCACTGTCACGTCCTTTTGAGGTACTGTGATGTCCTTTTAAGGTACTGTGATGTCCTTTAAACAAACAAAAAAATTGAGAAATTCTAAAAATTGATTTTTATGACGTCACAGCTTCGGTACTCTATTGTAATGTACTAACCTGACGATGACGTGTTACGTAATCCGAACGTGATTTCTATGGAACATAATATACGGGATAGAAGTTGTCCTCGAGTTGTTTTTCCGAAAAAATAATTGCGATCATATTTTTAATATTGTCCAGCGAAAGAGATGTTTCTAGCTTCTTCCTTATTTATGTTTGCTCCACACTGTTTGTGAATGATGTGACTGTTGATGATGAATGGATAAATAGAATTTAAAAAAAGATGTATTTATCGCCTTTTCCAGGGGAGGCATTGTGTCTTTGATAGTTTCTAAACAAAATAATCAAGAAGAATTGTAGAGGTATTTTTTTTAAAGAAGTCGAGTGAGGTTTTTAGTTTGTTTCGTTTTCTTTCCTTTGCGTGTGTATGTGCGTGTGCGTGTGTGTGTGTGTGTGGGGGTGGGGGGGGGAGGGGAGGTGGTAATGTGCCCCCCCCCCCCCCACCCCCTGGATCCGCCAGCCTGTCAAAATCAAATCATAATCAAAATGATAAAATGCCCACCATTTAAATACATGTAGTAGCCAGGGTAAATTGAAGAATAACAAAACATGTCGAGACTATTTTCTTACTGCATTATGCAAAACATATTTCCAAGAGGAAATATCTGTACATGTACATCCTGTTCAGTGTTGTTCAGAATGGCTTCATCTCACCTGGGAGTATCTCTCCATGCAGCCAGTATTTAAGAACGTATTCTTTTTGCCCCGATTCAATAAAGGAATTCCGTTAGATTTCTTGCCATGGTAAAATCCATAATACTACCATATAAAACTGGGTCGCGTTGAATGCTGTGGTGGGACGTTCAATTATTTTATCAAGAAGCGAGGCGTGCTGGTAACCAATGGTAACTATACATCATCAAAAGCGATATATTTTAATGAGCAGAGCGAGAAATTATGAATGATGAAGTATATAAAGATGGCGTGCATTGTTAATACTACATTTTCAATCATGTCCATTGCACTACTTTCACAGTCTATGCATGTACGTAAATATGTACCTACCATGTAAGCTACTACCTGTGGAGAAAAGGCTTAAAGGAAACCTAAACCCAAAGAGTAAGTGTAGGTATTCTGAAAACTGAGATGCATTCCTGCCCTTTGATGTACAATATTCCTTACGAAAATGTACAAGATATATATCAATGAAGATATTCCTGGCATGATGTGATGCCTTTCAGCATGATATGGGCGCAGCCATTTTCTTGAAAATGTGACATACCTGTTGAAGTTGTACATCATGCACCTAGCTTTAGTTGGAAAGAATTTTTAAATCAATAACGAAACCTTTACTTTTCAATTAAAAAAATAATAACTGAGATGATAGAAATTATATTAGGTGAAAAATAAATAATAGGGGCACGATTGTAACAAAATTCATTTATAAATACTACACTATAGAAGTTGACAAATTTATTTCATTTATGAGAAACCTTCACCCCAGAAGAGCAATTTGCGTTCTGGCAATTATAGTACAAAGGATAATAGCAGGTGAATGAAATGCTTCATCACCACACACGTCTTGGAAAGAAGCATCCACAAATTTAAATACATTACTTGATAAACGACTTCGCATAGTACGTCACATTATCAAGAAAATGGCGTTGCCCATGTCTTGTTGAGAAACTGTACTTTATTTTTGCTTTATTCCTCTCTCATAAACTTTGGTGGGGGATATTGTAGATTTATGGGCAATAATATAATAAATCTCTCAGTATAAGTAAAGTTATTACTTGGGGTTCGGTGTCCTTTCATACAAGTCGGGTATCGGTAGTCGAGTCACGGGGAGCGATATGTCGGCAGACATTAAAACCTGCACTTAGCACTCCCTGGATGCACTTAGAAAATTTCGCGAAAGACAATTAATGACTGTACTATAGTTCTTGGAAACGACAAATTTGCGTTACAAACAATGTAAACAGATCGTGTAAACTGATACAAATTTGAACACAAACTTGTAAGCCCCCATTACCCATGATGCGTCAGCCATTGACGTATGACAACGTCAATGGTTGACGCAGCCTTTTGACACGCCATGTGGGATTGATGTTGTGAAAAACAAGATACAGCGAAATTAACAGTTCAAAGATTGCATCAACGACCCCTATAGGCTTGATCGGCGCAGGTGATAAAGCAATCGTAATGATGCTTCAAAGGCAACAGGCATTTTGTACTTTTCATTCCGCATCCGCTTTGTGTGCTACATATATATCACTCACTAATGACGCATTAATTGGTAAGCGCCAGTCGATGACGTATTCCTACACCCCGTTCAAGACGCCTCGTGTGTAACGGGTATACTGAACGGACAGACGGATGGTTCTATTTTGTTTAAAAGGGCCTCCATTCCACCTGGAAAACGACGATGTGCAGGAAAGTGAAGGGATATGTTCATGTTGAAAGTGGGATAGAGCGGGAGAGGGGGAGAGAAAGTGGGGCGGGGTTGGGAAAGAAAGGAAGAGGAGGAGGAGGAAGAAGAGGAGAGAGGCCGAAGATGGGGAGATAAACGAGTAGAATGAGCAACATAGCGAGAGAAAGAGAGAGCGAGAGAAGTATAAGGGGTGTGCGAGCAGGAGTGATGAAAACATTTAAGAGGGACAGACAAAAAACGAAAAAGAATAAATAATAGTTTACCTTAAAGACATCGTTTAACAATGTTAAATCTGAGATGCACGGCCCTACGTGTTATCAGTGTCTATGATATGGTGTAATATTGAAGCCCTAAACAAAACTGCGCTTCAAAATGATCATGAGGCGCCTGAAAAAAGTAGAAATCTTTGAGTGACCGGTTTTACCTAATTAATTTTCCCCAGTTCACTGTAGTGCTTTAAAAATCGTTAAGGAAAAGGGTTTTTGACACATCGATTTCCAAACATGAATATCTTGATAATCAGACAGGCGATCAGTTTGTAAAGGTCATAGGACTCCTGACTGACGAAAAGGTTTATAATTATGATTGCGGCATGAGCTAAATCCAAGATTTCCTTTCAGACTCTGAGGCAATGTTACCGAGTCACTTTAATGAAAGTTCTGAATGAAGCAACGTGTTAATAACTGGGTTCATTAGGAAATATACAAATATGTGATGGAAAATAAATATCATATAAAACGGAAAAGAGATGGTGAAAATCGAAAAAGAGGATGAAAATATAGAAGTAGAAAGGTACGAAGAGGTAGAAAGGAGAAAAGGCTTAGCCCATTTCAGCTTCTCGATGCCGCGGTTTAAACCATTTTTTAGATGTTCTCGCGTTGCGATCCCCGGGGATTATTGCTTGATTAATCATGCAGGCTTGATATACCGACTCATTTCCTTTTATGAAATATTAATTACAACATAGGGTTTTATAAAAAAAACTGCTTTCACCTTATTTTTAATTCCGCCTACCTCAAACATTGTACTAGTCGTAATTAGAAAATAGATTAATTGAAGTGTCACTTGTTTAGAAAAACTATATAATCCTTTAGCTTCATTAACATCTTCGCGAATGTTATCAAGTATGCTTACTATTAAAGAAGAACATACAGAGTACTGCCTGGGCCCGAATACAATTTCCGTTGTTATCAAAGGCAATTTTAGATTTCATTAAAGGGATTGTGTATCTTTGCCTCAGATTCTAAACAAAGTCATGGATTTGGATTATGCAGCAATCATAATTATTAACCTTTAGGCCAGTCAGGAATCCTATCACTTTTACAAGCCGATCACCTGTCTGCTTATCGCGATGTTTATGATTGGAAATCAAAATTTCAAAACCGTTTTCCTAATGGAGGAATGCGTATGGTAGAACCTGTCACTCATTTTTTTTTACATTTTGGAGGCACTTCATGATCATTTTGAAGCGCAATTTGTTTAGGGCTTCAATAGTACACCATATGACAAACACTCATAACACGTATGGCCGTGCATCCCAGATTTAACATTGTTACACAATGTCTTTAAATAGGTAGAGTGCTCAATTGTGTTTAATTTAATTTAAGATTTACAAAAGATTGTGTGATATCTTAACCTATCCAGTGCTGGCTTATTATGTGCCAATCCTGTGGATTTCCTATCTCATCATTTGTTATTTTCTTATCTTATTTTCTTTTTGTTACAGCTGTTTTCTTCCCGTGGAGGAAAACATCATATTTGCCTTCCTCGTACCAGGTCTGATTATTATCATGGTAAATATGAATTCCATTCCTTTGTAATGCTGAGCTTTTTACTTCTTGGAAATCTCGTTTATTCCGATATTTTTTTCCTGTCCAACCCCGCATCTTTCCTCCTTCTCTGTGCATTCTCCTTCCTTCGCCATGTTTCTCAGCACTACGTTTTTCTGGTTTGTGTGTATGTATGTGTGCGTGTATGTGCGTTATTTTCTCTCTCTCTCATTTCTATTTTGTCTTATAGGCTATTCCTACTTGCTCTTTATATATATATATATATATATATATATAGTAATCTTAATTTCAGTTCTTTCTCTTTTTATCTCTACATACATACATGTACATACAAACATATTGATATTTATATAGCGCCTTTACATAAACATGCTCAAAGCGCTCTCCCCATCTTTCCTTCTCCCCTCTCTCTCTCTCTCTCTCTTTCTCATTTCTATTTTCTCTTATAGGCTATTCGTACTTGCTCTTTATTTCTATCTATTCTTCATTTCAGTTATTTCTCTTTTTATCTCTCTCCATCTTTCCTTCTCCCTCTCTCTCTCTCTCTCTCTCTCTTTCCCTCCTTCGCTCTTTATCTCTCTTCTTTTCTGACTCTATATGCTAATTTTTTTCTCTACCCCTTTAATAAATATGACCAAGACCATGATCACTCTGTTTAATATCAACATCAGTGCAACATTTGTTTACCGTTTATATTCTGTAAGTTTGTCCCCTACATCCAATCCAATCCAGGAATGTATAAAGCGCCAATATCAAAGGCGTTGATGAAACTGAAAAACTACCAAATAATATTATGTCCGTTCATGATTCTAACTGATTCTACATCAGACTAAAGACTAAGAAGTACCTTATGCTTTTTTTTTTATTCCAGGTAAAATAAATATCATTTTATAATGGTTCTAGAGATATCAAATTATCGGATTATTCTTACAATGCAATTGTGCATATATATATTGATATCATTTTTTCTTTATTTTCCAGACCAATTACACCTGTTTGTGCTACATTTTCTACGAATACGTTACAACCAAGAAGAAAGACAAGAAGAATCTCCCGCAAGTCTTATCTGTGGTGTAAGTATCATGTGACCACATCTTGTTACCATGGTTACCCAACGAATAGCCTATTTTCGTAATGTAACCGCATTTTGATGCATACGTCTTCGTAAAGAGCCTCGATACAAATTATTTCATTCACCTGAATGAAGGATAACGTGACATTCGCTCTGGAAAAAAAAGGAATTAATAAGTTTTTACAAATGTATAATATTAGTCGACCAGTCATAATAATAAAACGATCTCAACTACATTCGAAAAATCAACTCAATGGTAATGTCATATACCTATTGAACAATGTCATCTTATAGAATTTATGTTCGTATTACGTAATATGTTATTGTTTTGTTCGCTCATTTTAAAGGGTAAAGAACGGGGCTATCGAAATTACTTTAAGTTGATTTTTCGAAAGTGGTTGCGATCGTGCTTTTTTCACACTAGTTCGTGATTTCTGACACGATGATTAAACATTCCATACGCCATACATTTCAAACATTTCTAAACAGTCCCTTTAATTTCAAATAATAGATAACGCACAATATATGATATTCTATGATTAAAAAGTACCATTACAACTTGCTATGGTTTATTCCATTAATTCAGTTCGAATTCAAAAATTGTAAGACATTGTTATGGTACTTTGCCACGTGACTCCATGAAATATTAAGTCCGTTCACACTTTGGTGAAATTGGTTGGATATATCAGGCTCTGCTATGAGGTATTACTTGAATAATTTATGCTCTATTTGGAAGCAAAAGAGAAATCGATTTTTCATGGGTTGAATAATTTACGGAGTCGCGCAAAATGGAAAATATCACGCTTTTGGCAACCTAATCTACGGAATGAGTCATTATTTATTAATGATTATCGATGTTTTATACAACTCAGTTTGCATTCTGTTAGAAATAATATGGAAAATAAGTTTGCACACAATTTACAAAACTGATTTAGGTCAACACTTTTTAAGAATACAGGGATGTACCCAGAAACCGAGAGCGTATTTTTTTTCTTGATTGGTCAAAAAACACAATGATTTACAAAATATGCGTACACTTTTTTGCAGAAGAATAGATGAATAATCGTATTGTTTCACACTTACAATCATGTTGTTTCTCATTTCAGTGTAACATAAAACCTAAGCACAATCATCAAACCTTAAATATTTTCTTTCATCAATTTTAGGCTTCTTGTCATCATTCTACTGGATAAACAAGACAGCATTTTCTTGAAGCTACTTTATAGAAATAAATTCCATATATAATAACATATTTCTAGAGCGCTTAGAGACATTGTCGACGTATTTAGCGCTATGTTAAAGCGAATAATAATCATAATTATTATTTTTATTACAATAATTCAATGAGATCTTTAATTCATTTCTGTTAAGAATATTTGCAATCTTTTCTTTCTCTGACAGTCCTAATGCGAGGGCATGTGCGGTCATTTCAACATTTCTACTTCTGGACTGGAGCTTCTTCGTGTTAGCACTTCGGCTAAATCTTACAGCAGTCAATGCATTATGGGCTTTTAACAAATTAGTAGAGGCAAGTACTTTCTAATTTATCTCTCACCCCCGCATATGTGTGTGTGTGTGTGTGTGGGTGTGTGTGTGGGTCTGTGTATGTCTCTCTCTCTCACTCTAAGTATTCCTGTCTGTTTGCCCCCCCCCCCTCTGTGTGTGTGTGTGTGTGTGTGTGTGTGTGTGTTTGAACAGCAGTCAGTGCATTATGCATGGGCTTTTAACAAATTAGTAGAAGCAAGTGCTTTTCAGTTCTCTGGCTCTCCATCTCGTTGTCTTTCACTTTCTCTCTATCCTTTTCTCCCTTGCACTCGCGCTCTCTTTGATGAATGTTTCATCTTTAAATGATCTTTGAACATTCAGGCAATGCATCATGGGATTTTTAACAATTTAGTAGTTTTATCCCCCTCCCCCCTCTTCTCTCTATCTCTCTCGCCCTCTATCACCATCCCACATCCTTGCTTCATTCATATGATAATGACAACGGTGTAACAGAGGAAATATATTTGAAGATGGCGGGCGGCAATTAAAGAAATGACACTTGATTAATGTCCTTTGGCAATGCATTAATCTATATTTGCCACTCATTACCCAAGAGAGAAATGGGGGCCCAGTACGATGACTAAAGCATTTGCGCCAGTATTTGCATATGCACTCACTGTGACCATATGGTAGGAATACTCCCCAGGGAGAGGAGATGGTTCACATTGTCCGTAAATGAATCCGACCGGGGTAATGGTATATGTAAAGCGCTAAGAGACGGTATTCTGAATAAATCCAGATTATTATTGTTATTAATTAAAAGTTATTGTAATTCTAAATTGCATTTTATTTTCCCATATCCGCATGACCCATGTTCAAATTCTTTCTTAAAATATTCACTGAAACGCGTGGGAAGCGTGTTGCTCATTCAAGATATTGACAAAATGCCTTTTGAGATCGAGAAGGGAAATTTGTGAACGTGCAGTACATACAAAGTACACATTCTGTATTTAGCAACTGTGTTTTATTTATTGATTAAACCCGAAGAAAAGTCGCCGCGCGATGACGTCAAATTTCATTGACCAATTAGAGAAACTCTTTACCGCAATCAATCAGGGAATAGCATTTCGAAAGGCTGACGTCATAATCCACACGACCCCCCCCCCCCCCCGTTTTGTTTAAAAATCTAATAGAGGCAAGGAAGGGGTTCAACGTGTGGCGATTGACAAATGTAGGAAATGTCCTTTTTTATAAAAATTTGCAAGACGCAAATTTACTCTAGGACATTTTCACAGTGGCGTTGTCACTAATCCAATGGTAGCCTCGCGATGTAACGCCCTCTACATTATTCATTCAAAAATTGTTGAGGAAAAAAATGTCAGTGGGTAAATTAAACATATAGGTCTATTGACACTGCTGGTTTTTTTCTTTTGCTAGCAGATTTAAAAACCTGAGGTCCCCCCTTTTTATTTTTTTAAATTTTTACTCCTGGGCCCCATGTCACAAAACTTGTCATCAGTGACAAATGACAGTTTTTGTTATAAGCTAGTGAAATCCTTGCTTCCGTTTGGTTATCAGCAGACTTGACATTGATTTTTGTCATTTGTTATTAAAAAAAATCTTTGTGAAACGGGTCCCTGATGTTAAATTTGAGGATATCAAAACCCCTCTCCTTGATTGCTTGAGCTTGTTTTGGAATTTGGGCAATCCTTTTTTTCTTCTAGTTAATACTTAGATACTTTCCTTATTCTGTTCTATATGTATCGTACTGGCTCTTGCTTGTTGATAAATTAATGTTGTGTATTCTTCATTCTGTTTGCACTTCCACAGAGTATCTGCGTATTTCTTCTCTTCGGAGTCTTCAGTACAGAGGTAAGATTGACAAATAATTATTTTTAGTAGAGCATTGCTAACTCTCCATATTTAGAGCGATGAAGTAGGCCTACATGAAATGGTATCCGGACACCTACCCCTGGACATCCACCCCGGATAACAACCCCTTGGTGGTTAACCTCTATGACGACTACCCCCGGACAAATACCCCCGGACAAATACCCCCTAGGATATTTGTCCGGGGGTAGTTGTCCTAGAGGATGGTTGTCGTAGGGGTAGTTGTCTGGGGGTTAGTTGTCTGGGGTAGTTATTATAGGGGGAGTAGTCCTTCTAAAGGGTGGTTGTCCTAGGGGGTAGTTTTCGTAGAGGGTGGTTATCCTAGGGGTGGTTATCCTAGGGTGGTTGTCCAGGGAGTAGGTGTCCTAGAACCACATGAAATATGTTAGTCTTAAAGTAATGATAAAATAAAAAGATCCTCTCTTTCTCTCTACATGTTTTACAATGTCATAATATTGTATCTCTTTGTTTCTCTTCACCCAACTCCCTCCCCCTCCCCCTAAACAAACTCTACAGGTACAGTCAGAATATGAGAGACGAGTTGGGCCATGCTGTCCGTGGTTTCGTAAGAGTTCTCGAGCGGTAATGGACTCACCTTCCCCGCGGCCGGGCTGGCGGGATGAAATCTCTCAAATCAGTAACATGGGCGAGAACAGTATCATCATGGACAATGAAAGTTCCGTCGGTTACGCTGGTCTCAACAATCCCGCCAGCGTCGCTTCATCGTCTTCGAATCTTGCAACGGGATCAGCGACGTCGAGATTTAACGCAATTCTGAATTCGAGCCTGAACTCGAGCGGGAGGGCAAACACGATATCGGGTTCGCTGATGAGCAATGGTAATGGGGAAGCACATAGCTCAGAGGGAACCAGCAAACAGAACGGTCGAAATGGATCGAAAAGGGTACTGATCGATCATAAGAAGGCGAGGGACGCCCTCAACGATTCTACTTCATCCATTGCTTCCACTGTTGCGTCAACGTTGAATCTTAAAGTAAGATCACAGATTTAACCATTTTATTATGTTTGCGTAAAGATCCAACAACTATCAGATTAAATGAAGGATTTTCATTTCCACAATTAGAGAAAAGAAATCATGCATAGTGGGCCCTGAGACAGGGAAAGAGATAAACCTATAGGATCTGTAATATCGTCTACTATAATTTCTGACCAAAATACTAACGAAAACTATTTGTATACATCTGCGACTACCAACCTTTACACAGCTGGGCTCCTCGTTCCCGGGGTCCCTAGTTAGAGTAGCCTACAATCAGTTTAGAACAGTGTCGAAGATAAGGAAAACACGATAACAAAAGAGACAGTATTTTGCTATCCAGTCTGTATGTCCACATCTAACTTAGATGTTCATTGTTGCAGCTGCAGCCAAATGTTATGTTTTATAAACCTCAAAAACCAAATACACTTATAACTGTGTATTCATATGCTCTGCTATTTCTTTCCATTCATCCCACTCCAGGCAAAACTAAAAGTGTTTCCGGTGCGGAAGTTGACCGATCAGACAGAGCACGTGAAGATGACCAACACCGACCAGTCAGACTCCCCGGATGACAGCCGGGAGACAAGCCCTGTACCAGCGCCTAAGAAGAGAGTCGGCTGGGGAAAAATAATGGGGAAGACGTGATCAAGACATCATGAATTGATAAAAAGAACGCTTATTTGTCATAACCGCGGATGTGTCTTTCAAAGCCCTTCACACGTACACCGGTTCGATCCGGTAAATGTAGCGGAACCGGTCTCTTGACGTTGTTTTTCGATGTATCGGTCTCAAAGCAACATTTTCCGATATCTCGGTCTTTAGACTATTCCCTTTCCCGATATGTCGGTCGCAACCAGAAACGTTATGTTATATAAACAGAACGAATTTTTCTTCGTGGTTTCCGCTTCTTCTGGCCCCCAGGTCTTGACTAATACAGTGCTGCGAACATAATCATCTATCGCCAAAATTAGGGCACTTGTATTAAGTCAATTATAGAAAACGAGATGCAAGAAGAACCACTTTTTAACATGGCCTTAGCAACTGATTCTGACGCAACCGGTCATGACCGCGTTCATACCAGTAACTTTTTATATATTTTGAAACGCATAATTATTGTAGTGAAGAACACACAAGATGTGAACAGAGACATGCGAACTACAGAGCCCCGCGTTTTCCATTGGGTAGCTCTGTAGCTTCAGATAAGTCATTGGGAGCGTTGTCATATTGCAACTTTTTGAAAGAAGTTTTCCAATAATTAAATTTGTTGATTGACTTATTACGCAAAGTAGCAGCTGAGAGCTGAAATGTTTATTAACTTTAACCTCTTATTATTGCGTCATTTATTCTATAATAGACGTAAGCATTGTTAAGAATTGATGATTTGATGTATAAAATGCGCTCAGCATCTTACTGGATGGTTATCTTCATGGTCGTGTATTGCCAGTGGAGTGTGAATCATTTTCAAAGATGACGAGCCACGTCTGCATCATCGAAACCAAGTCGATGCGCTAGTGCCCTTTGGTAAGGCATTAATCCTCATTACAAGGTCCCTCAGAGAGGACCTTAAGCCGTCGGTCTACTGGTTGCTTACTAACAAGCATTTCTTGCTTTCTTAGCTGTCAGGCAAAATAACCACCACTATCTACAAGTAAACTACAACAAGTAAAAGGGGCCTCAGAGTTGATGAGCATAATTATTTGCAGAACGGAATCATCTTTAGCTCCGCTTTCGTCAAAGCATTCACGTAATCCGATCACACAACCGCAGGACACCAGGGGGCGTTTCACAAGACTTGTCATCAGTGACAAATGACAAGTTGTGTTATGAGCTACTGATATTCTTGCTTCTGATTGGATATCAGCAGATTTGTCACTGATTTATGTTATTTGTCATTGAAAAAAAAGCTTTGTGAAACGCCCCCAGTACTTTGAGAATTGGAATACATCTAAAGTAAGTGTTACAGTAACAAAGAGCCAAACAGTTCAAGATCACGCCGAGCAAAAGAATTTCCTCATGGAAGGGAGTAAAAAAAAATTGAAATACTTAGACAACCCAAACGAATGATCCTGCATATACCTCGATGATATTCGATTTATTTTGTCATTGCAAAAGGATTGGGGTTATGGGGGAACGATTGAGCTTATTTTGATATCAAGGTTTATTGTTTAGGGGATAAATGAATTCAGTAGACAACGGGTTAAAGTGATTTGGCTAGTGTTAGAATTTACATGGACTACTTGTTGGTATAATCGAACTTATTAGTGCATACTTTGATCAAGGTTTAATGATGACACGCAAGTCTTTCTTTCTCAGAGCGCCTGAGGGCGGTATTCTTCCATTTTCGTTGCCATGTCGTTTAAGTTGTGTGAAATTTATGTCCCAATCCGTCAAAATCACTTCGTACTTTTACAATGACATGCACTCTCTCTATTATTCTCTCTACCCTATGTCCATATAATATGCTGCAGTGTCCAATTTCAAATTACTGCTTTTTCGACATTAACTGCATTGCATTAATGGAAGAACCAAAAACAAAAACATGATGTGGGTAATTGTAATCGAACAAACAAAATTAAAAGGCAAACCAAACCTCTTATGTGCAATAATTCTCACTGAATAATAAATATTTATTCACTATTGTATACGCAATTTCTAATATGTAATATTGAACAAAATTTTCATGTTTTTACTCTAATATTACTGTATTATATGTCGGAAAATGGGAATACTCGTGCCAGAAAGAATATAATGTCAAGCGATGTGAAAATAAGCATAATTTAAATGCTTTCATAATCGTTGGATTTATTCCATTCAATTCTTTTCTATGAAAAATATATCATTCAAATTGAAACGAACTAATTGATACGTGTTAAATTATCAAAGCCAAATCACTTGATATATATCAATGAACCTAATCGTATGAGTGTTTTAGAACGTTTGAAATGAGTACAGAAACAATTGCAGAAATAAGAAATACTGTGTAAGCTGTTCTCATTAAAGAGATCGTTTAACAAAACTAAATCTGAGATACACGGCCCTACGTGTTATCAGTGTCTGTGATATGGTGTTATATTGAAGCCCTAAAAAATTGCGCTTCAAAATGATCAAGAAGTGCCTCAAAAAAGTAAAAATCTTTGAGTGACCGGTTTTACCATACTCGATTTCCCCAATAGACTGTAGTGCTATGAAAACCGTTCGGCAAACGGTTTTCAAAATGTGTAATTCCAATCATAAATATCTTGATAATCAGACAGGCGATTGGCTTGTAAAAGTCGTGGGGTTTCTGACTGACCTAAAGGTTTATAATTATCATTGCAGCATGAGCTAAATCCAGAATTTTGTTTCAGAATCTGAGACAAAGTTACTGGATCCCTTTAAGGCTTACAAAATAATAACACGACGATAAATATTTCGCATGGATCTTCATCTAAAGCTTTACCTAAAATATACTTGTGTCTTGCCTATACAAGGTGTAAAAGACTTTACCTGCAAGATTCCTTTACGACAAATATCTCGGAAACGGTTAATCCTATCATGGCCGAGCTTGGGTAAGATTTTAAATTTAAATATAAGTATTGTTAACTTTGCAGAATAAAATAACACTCACACTTTTGAAAGGGGTGCCTTCGCCTGTTGTATTTGAATAAGAAATTAGAAATTAAATGATTGCATTATGTGGACGAGCGTTACGTAATTTTAGTTATGGTGTTCATCATTTGAACGTTCATAATTCATTCCATGAGAAGTTAGTGAATGTTATTGTGTTGGCAAAACCAGACAACAAGAAGCAGGGGAACGACAATTCTTAATTAAGATGCATGTGTCTGTAAAATATGAGAATATAGGACGTTACATGAGAAATGAATCATCGATAAAAGTTTGCTTTAAAGCCCTACTGTACTACTTGTAGCTACTTGCACCCTCTATATAGCAAACAATGCATAAGCGGTGCCCGTTGGACCCCCATGATCCTCTTTTTCTTATGGAGAGCTGAGTTGATGAGATAGCCACCTGTCAGGGACCACGCTGGGTGGCCTAATTCCTCCTGGCCAAACTAGTATAGACGGGCTTTAAATAAAAGCGGAAAAACAGAGAAAGCTACAGAGAGGGATCGAAGAATTATCTTTTTCTAAGGCCAAGATAAAGAGAGAGAAGTGGTTTTGAATGAAGGTCAATACAAATATCTTATTTTATTTTTATAGTACGCAATCATATTTTAATTGAATGAAATGTGATTCATGTTTAATTACACATGAAAAATACCTAGTGCTGAATGAGATTGAAGTAGCATTGGATGTATTATGATTCAAAATTTATCTACGAATGTCCATAGTAATACCACTATGTTGCTCCATTGTTACGTCATTAATTACGATTGAAATTTGTACAGAAAGTGACTTATTTATATAATCAAAATATGATCAAAGTTATTTATTTGCATGTGAACAAATTTAATAAAAGGCAAAATATTTGTAATAACAAGCTGAAATACTGTTGTAGATTCTTCTTGTAAAGTTTATTCAGCCATATTTTCATTCTGATACCAACCGAGAATAGCAGCTAAAGACTGTCAGAACTTGAGTGAAACATATCGCATATTATATTTAATACTGATATCTATAGACATTTTGATGGAAATTTAGAAACAAAAATAGGTAGGGAGAGAGTGGAAATGAACAAACAAGTCCAAATGAGATTTAACTAAACAGCATCTGGGAGTGAGAGAGAGAGAGAGAGAGAGAGAGAGAGAGATTTTTTAAAGAGAGGTAGAAGGAAAAAAGCGTTTAGTATTTGTGTTAGTGTAAGTGCATGGGAGAGGCATAGAGAGACAGAGAGACAGAAACAGAGCGGGTGATAGATAAAGAGAGAGGAGAGAGGCAGAGAGAAAGGGAGAGAGGGAGGGGAGAGAGGCATAGAGATAGGGAGAGAGGTAGGAAGAGAGAGAGAGGGAGAGCGATAGGCAACGAAATAAATAGAGAGAGAGAGAGAGAGAGAGAGAGAGAGAGAGAGAGAGAAAGGAGAGATATAGGGTGAGAGGGAAAGACAGACAAACAGAGTTGTGAATGGAGGATGAATTAAAAAGGGAGAGAGAAAAGGATAATCTTTTATATATATATACTGAGAGAGTGAGCTGAGATGACAAGGGTTGAAAGAGAAATGAGGGAGATTGAAAACAAAAGAGGGGAATGTATGTCGATTCGACCCTTCCCCATCCCCCCCCCCCCCCCCTTCACGCCATGCGAAGCTGGAAGAGGGGCGTACCCTCTTCTTTTCCCGTGACGATGATGGACCCCCAAACACACATAATGCAAATATTGACATGGCACATGAATAGCGACCACGATGTAAAACATGGCCACCCCCTTTACATGTTTAATCTATGCTGTCCGTTGCTAGGGGATCACCATGTACAACCCTTACGAATTTGCGTGCCTCCATTAAAGTGGATGTCCGAAGATTGAAAGTACGTGACCGAATGAATAGGTGGCGGGAATTAGGGCCCCAATGGAGGTGGCGGAACTATGTCGACTTTGTTCGCATTACCGCAATTAACGATCGATGAGAAAATTGACATCATTATTTGGGTATGAGCATTCACGTGCCAATAACGCATGTTCTCTGATATAAAAGCTACTTTTGAAGACCAGGGGGTGTTTCACAAAGATCCTAAGTCGAACTTATATCTAAGTTGGACTTAACAATTATGGAAAGCCGTTAGCATCTGTGAAAACATTTTGTAAAAGTTATTTTAAAAGGCATAAAATATTGATTCAGATCATTCATATTTTCTATTATCAAGGAAATTTCATGTTCTTGATTTGGAATTTATAAAAAGTCTTAAATACTTAAATTTACGCTTTTGAATATATTATATTTTAAGGCTACAAATGGCTCTCCATAGTTTTTAAGTCCAACTTAGAGTTAAGTTCGACTTAGGATATTTGTGCTCCCCCCCTCCCGGTCTTATTTTTAAAATGTAGCATGATTAAATGGGAAGATTAACATTGGGGGAAGGAGATACCGAATAACAAACAGTCGGTAAGTTATATATTTACCTCTCGAAATAAAAAAAAAACATACCTGTTCAAAATGCAGAATTACAAAGTCTTTCAAGAAATTAACTCAAGGGTAGTTCCGATTCCTTATCGTTTATCCCACATCAAGTTATGTTCGAACTGATACGTTAAACATTTCAAAATGTAATCATAGACACGGCTATAATTATGATCGCCTTATTGTGATTTTCCACACAATTAATCTTTGTGTTCGTATCAAAAACAGGGCTTGAGTGTTTGTTCTCCCGAGTTCTTGTGCTTTCCCTTGTATTTTCCCTTTCCTGAATGCGTATAGGGAAATTCTAAGTAACCAAAGAAAGTCTATAGAAAAATTTGATTTAAATCATTGCAATCAGGAAAATTATATCCAGTATACAACTCGTAACAATAATAACATAATTGGCTGAGTTATTTTTTACTTCTTCTGAGGAAGAAATAAAAAACGAATTAAAACGAATTCAAATTTCGTTTCCGTTTCATTTGATTTAGGTACTTCATATTTTGATTCCTAAACACAGTTCAAACTTGGAAATTGACGTAGGGCCTTATAGATACGTAGCTCTCATGTTGATAGACCTGATTTTGGCATAAATCAAAATCCCCACCCCCCTCCCCAAAAAATGAAAGAAAGAAAGAAAATGACTTAGGTAGTGATTGTATTAGCCTGGTATTATGTAGATTAGACATGTATTGTACTCATCCACAATGACGCTTTTGTGTTTATTTTAATTCTACCTCAAAAAGTGTTTTATTATCAGCCAGCCCCCCCCCCCTATTTTGTTATAGGTACAGGTGAAAATTGCAGTTATCGAGTTGGTAGCACGGGGAATAAATAGTAAACTCCCGTCACCGATCACCAGAACGTAACGCGTATAAGGAGAACGCATTATGGGTTAATCAATCTGTACGTATACGTGCGTTCTCACTCAACACCTTATATTTGCATACACACCAGAATGACACTCTGATGGAGTATTTGCATAGACATAATAATGACAGTTTATGTGCTCTGGCTCGTATTGTATGAAGGATTGGGAAATGATAGATGCATGTGATCAAATGTTCATTTTCCTTCCGCTGTTTTGGTGCAAAAAGCTTTAAAGGTGGACCTCATTTTCAACCTATGAAAATAAACGTTGAAAATCAGTCAAATTAATGTTGATGGGAAGTAAATCATAAATTGATACATATATCTACAATGCATTGAATATCTTTTAAATGCTTTAGTTAACTGGAGTACAAATATAATTATTATATAATTACTGTTCTTAAAAAAAAAAAAAAATCTTTTTTCTCTCAATGAATGGTAATTGTTTCACCTGTCATTGTTGTGGGTGTTGTTGTTTTCTTATGATCTAGACCAAAATAATAAACAACCCAACTTCTTTACGACCATGTCAATAATTATATTAAATGCATTTATTTTTGGGGAACGACAGAAATCTGATAATATTAAATGATGATTATTGATCAAGAATTACATTCGTAATTCCAATTTTAGTATTCAGGTTGCACATTTGTGTGGTGATTCTCTAAACCTAAGAAACAAAAACATACATTTATAACTTTGCTGTCAGAATTCCATTTTAAAACATTCAGAGCATCTTTATCTTATTCATATTTCAACAATAACTACGTATTTCATTCATTTCAAAGCGGAACAATCCTTATAACACTTACAAACAGTTGAAAACAGTATCTTACCAATCAAATTTCATTCATTTAATTTATTACAAATTTAAGACGAACTAAAGGAGATGTATTTTCAGACACTTCGTGAATTCTGTGAGAGTTGGCATTTCTTTTGTAACACACTTGTTTTTCTCCTTGAAATTGTTATGTCGCAGCCTTTATTGTGTTCATTTTTCTGAATAAAAGAGCACAAACTACATGCAACTGACATGCATTGCTTGATTATGGCGCTATTATATCTAAAGTGGGCCTTATTTAATTCCGACACTTCTTCGTCAAACAACAATAGTCGGATAACCATTAGCACTTTAGCTACACTTTTCTTGATGTAAACTGTATTTGCTCATGTTCTTATGATGCCCTCGTAGTTAGATGTACAATGGTCTAATCAAGACCTTTACTGTTGGCACTATATGGAATGATCTTAGAAGTGGAAGGGGCAGGAGTGACCAGGGGTACAGCGGGGCTAAATGAGAGAAGTACACAACAGCATGAAGGGTGACTGGGTGGGGTGTGGAGGGGGGGGGGGGGGCTGTTGGCTCAGTCAGTAGAGCGTCCGCCTCACAACCGGGAGGTCGTAGGTTCGAACCCCGGCCGCGTCATACCAAAAGACGTTAAAAGACGGGAGTTGTTGCTACCTTGTTTGGCCTTCAACAATAAGGGATAGAGCAACGTCGATCTGGCGCTGCTCAGTGGCTGCCGGGCTCACGATCAATTGGGCAAAAAGATTTTCCATTTTCGGTTTAACTTAATACAATTTGGAGGGAACTTTAAAATATTATTATTATTATTATTATTATTATTATCATCATCATCAGCGCCAATTTCTTGTGAGTGACATTCTCGTACTCCCTAAAATTTGAGATACCCCTTGCTTCGTCAGTAGAATCAAGAAGATGTTGACTGTGTTGTCATGGTAACGCAGTGGGTATATTAAAGAGAAGAGAGTCTTTCATGAAGGTATTATTCTGCTGCTCTTGTTGTTGTTGCTGTTTTGCGGCACTTATCATTACATTCATATATTTACACTCTGTTTAAGCTTATATTCATAGTCGTACGAGGCGGTGGATATAGGTGCAATGCGGGCCATCTCTCATCAAGTTTGGCAACAACCACTATTTGGGCATTCGCCATCTCACATTCAGGCAGTTTGTTCTTCACATTTTAATTAAATGACATGATAATATAACTACCGTTTCATTTCTGTCCTTATAATGCATTTAGCAGATTTTAATAGTAATTACATACAAATATACATGTAGCCTATTAATGTACTCCAATAGTGCTTCTATGTGTACTATAAAACACCTGGGAATCTGAAAACACCTATACTTCGTCCATTTTATTTGCCAAGCAATCGACACCACTTTAGCTACTTTGCGCAGTTAATCAAACGAGTAAACAAGATGATTACAATAAGAACTATCGAGGGATCATCAAAGAATCTGAAGACGAGGGTAATTCCTCTAGACGGTGATACCGCCCTCGGCTGTCTGGGAATGGCCATTCTTGTCTTCGTCCAACTATTATACTTTTTTGTTTGGCGTGCCCTTAGATACAGGAGACATTCAATAGCGTACTGGAGAATAAACGCATTATCCCACTCAACGCCCGCGGTAGTTTATATAGGGACCTTCATGTACGGCCGCCGTAGAGACAATCCTTTCTTTGCAACAAGGATATCAATAGACTAGTCGATAATGTCCTGTGGGGGTAGCAAAGTCATCAGCGAAAGATAAATAACTTTTTGTTTGAGAATGCGCAGATTGCTATACATTTCTTCTCTTTTAATATCTTGACTAATTTTTCAGTTGAAGCAAGAATTAGTTGTAATTCGAAAACAGAGTAAGAAAGCAAATATATGTGAGAAATACTCTTCAATGTGAATTTGAACACAAGGATTGGACCCCTTCGAATGAATGGAACGGTCAGACAAATCATCTGTAAGTCCATTCGCGAGTATGTGCCATCCCCTTCCCTCCAACATCAAAAGAATCCTTTCTAATGGAAAAGTATTAAGCCCCTCTTCACGTCCTCCTTCGCCTATAGTTATAAACACTCGACCAAGATTTACGTTAGAAAGGAAACCTATAATCACAAACGGCGTTCAAAACGCGACCATGTTGTACTTTTCTGCTTCTTTTCATGAGAGTATATTCCAAATTTGAAGCGTTGGAAACATCGAAAAGAGTGGTGTTTTAGATGACTTTTTGTAGCAGACGAGAGGATATATTTGCATCGAGAAGCGATAAACTTCTACCGCATGTTTACACAGTAAACAAGTAAAGTAAACGACCGACGTTGTTTCAACTGAAGCGCACCTCAAAAGGTAAGTTTTTACCCTTACTTTCTTGTACAATTATTGTGCACAGTTGACATAATTGTTTTCATACATCTTTTCAGGAAATGATTGGCACAATATTCTGGAAAGTATTTATATATTCTCAGAATATGACGCTATGACTCTTTTAGATTGATTAATAAAGCTCTGAGTCTGAGTAAATATAAAGTTTATTGTATATTGCACTATTTTGCTATTTAAGTCCAATGTTTCAAATTGTATTTTAAATATGTTATGTTATACAGGGCTCTCTTGCATAGCACTTTTTATTTACTAAAGAGACTACCCTTTATAAAGAACACAGAACCGTTACTGTCACAATCATATCATTTATAACAAGAGGTGAGAAAAGTAATTTAAACTTAACGGGAACAATACTATAGTGTATCACGCAAAACCGAGTTTTACTCACATGCAAACAGTTTCACGCTAACAAAATGACATCTTCTATTTCATTTTCTGTAAAATGTTTACGATGAAATCAATCTAAAAATTTGATGCTACACTGTATATGTGACTTTTTCATATCGTAACATGTTGTTTGCATAAAGTCGTAAGTTCTTTTAAAAATAGATAATATCTTAAAATTTAATTTACAAAACGGTCGTGAAAAAACAAATATGAAGGAATCGGCAGTTTCATTTCGACAACCCTATTGTGGATGGGGTTGTCGGGCAAGGCAAAAATTCTGACTGCCACAACAGCAACAAAAACCATGATGACACAAATTTGTTAAGCAAATGAATGAAGACAAAAAAAAATATTGAATAAATAATTAGATATATATATGAATGAAAAATAAATTGATTAATTAATCTCTTTATTAATCTATTTATCTATTTATGTATATGTGTTTATTTATTAATTATTCAATTGATTGATTGCTACATGGCAAATCCATAAAAGTGGGGACAAAGATTTGCTTCCACGGCTAGAAAATTACTCCTTTTTGATATATTGTAAATATAGCCCCCCCCCCTAACTATCTGGTTTGCCAGGGACTATTGTTTATGATTAATGACATTTATTAGAATATATGTAAGATTAAATAAATTTAATGTTAAACCGTAAATATTTTTTTGTAAAAGATACAGGAATGGTTAACATCTCACATTTTCAATTTGTAGACGTGTTAATGAGATTAACGACAATTTGTAAAAGCGCTCAGAGATAATATTTCTTGTTATCTTTTGACTTCTGGGAGCCTGTAGAATATTCATTTGAACAATTGAATAAACAACAAATGTGAATGTGAATAGTAGAACTGGTTAATCACTATAAGCGTTAAAAGAATGTATTCAGGCAAGACGCGCTTGCGATGTCCTTCTCTTACGGGAAGAAGAAGAAGGAGAAGGAGAGGGAGAAGAAAAAGACAAAGGAGGAGGAGGAGGAAAAGAGGAAAGGTAGAAGAAGAAGAAGGAGAAGGAGGAGGGGAGGAGGAGGAGGAGGAGAAGAGGAAAGGAAGAACAAGAAGAAATTAACTCAAAAGAGGTTTTGGGAAAAAAAAAGATATTTGACGTAATCAATCCTGTATCTTTTACAAGATTAGATTTTTTGTTTTTGTTTCCTTTTTCAACCAAACTATATATCCATACAAAAGTTATGCTCCTGATGATATATCCTTTTGCAAAAAAATGATTCCAAGCGGGTAATACCACTCCCTTCTATTAACAACCAGCGTGACACAATAAAAACAAATCTAATACAAGCTTTCGGTTGCACTAGCAACTCAGGAAATAACTTACTCAGCGTTGAGTAAAGATTTTCTCAATGCCAATGAGAAAAATCGAAAATTCCTTTTTACGGAAAGGAAGCCCACCAGCATGTTAAACTGCGTGTATCTAATTAGAAGTTATTATTTGCGGTCAAAGTACTTTTTCTTCAATCTTCTGCAACCAATCTACTGTTAATCAACAATTTAATGAACTAAATCTACTGATCAATATTTTGTCCGTCAATCAATTAACATCTTATACATCTTTATTACCCACCAATGTATTAATTATAAGAAGCACGGCATTAATTGTCTTAAAGATAATAAATAAATGGGCTGTAGGCCCTGGCTATTGTTGTTGTTATTTAAAATAATGTTGTAATGTATTTGTGTGGAGCATCCATTTTTTAAATAAAATTGTTATACTATTTTATATTACGTAGTTCTGTTTTAAATTTGTTTTGTTTTGTATTAAATGTGATGTTATTTTATGTACCTGTATAATGTAGTGCTTCCTTGAAAAGCAGGCCATTAATTTGTTGGGGGGCTTGAATAGAACTACCCCACTAAAATAAAACTTAATAAATAAATTAATATATTTAAGAACTCCTATCCGTGCAGTTATATCGTTCAGTCTGTTTGGAGCCAAAAGGACGTTGACTCATAGAGTTAATTCACTTTCTACTCTTGATATTATTATAATCCTCAAATAACTTCACGCAACTGGTGTACTATGAATATTAAATCAATGAGGGCAATCAATATCGGCACAAATTAGTTACCTTCCGTAAATCACCGTGTAATCTATTCCAAAGAAATTAGCAATATGCCTTTAATTATTCAATTATCAAGCGATCATTAAATCGTGATCGCAGCTAATGCAACAATATTGAATACGGTATGAATAAACATCGAATGTTACGTAAAAATTTAATGCGATCGCAAAGCCTATTTAGAAAAAAAGTTAATTTCAGAGTGTATGTGTAAAGATTGGATATTTACAGACGTGTATCAATCAGATATGATTATTTACGTCTGTTGGCCGACCGTACGTCACATTCCGAAAGACGTATCATCCTTTTGCGTCATCTTTTAAAGAAAAAAAAACTCTAAAGGCTTCAACAATAGGCCCTTGATTGTTCGATTGCAGCTCATTAATGTAATCAATTATCTAAATATAATCAGAGGTTATGTAATCGTAATTAACAGAATAATAATAATATTTAAAAAAAGTGGGGTGACTGACCCTATGTCGTCGTGCAAATCTAAAAGTCCCTACTATTTCAAGTGAGACGTCAAGGTCGTCACCATGTAATCCGTATGTACAGTGTATTGAATGCTTATTAGACGCCGAGGGGATTATTTTGATTATAGGCGGATTACAACTTGTCTCCTACGTCGTACTTGAACTAGAAACACAATCTCAAGTACTCAAATCCAACCTAAGCCAATTTCAATTGCCTTTGTACGTCATCTACCTTAATGTGGGATCATTACAATGTCAATTGCGTATTACGTAATCAGAACAGGATTTCTGTTGGATATACAATAGGGTATTGAAATTGCCCTTGAGTTGATTTCTCTGGGCTGCGTCTCACGAAACCGTCATAAGTACAAGTTCAGCGACATCCCATTGAAATGCGTGTATTAAGTTTAAGACACGTTTCAATAGGATGTCGCTGAACTTGTACTGTGACGGTTTCGTGAAACGCAGCCCAGGACTCCGAGGCTGGTCTTTGCTTTTTGTGTTGGGAGAAGTTTATGAGACTTGCTATTTGTGCTATGGCGAACGTGTCAATCGAATCTGATTGTTGGAATTCATTTCTACTTATTTATTATTCAAATGAAAACTAAGTTGGTTGAAATACAATCAGCAAGATAATGTTGTACAGTATGCTATGACAAAAAAAAAAGGGGGGGGGGGTAGGAATTTCTCTCTTTTATGGGTTGGGGTTGTATTTGTTCCCGGTATTGGTTATAGCGCCCTTAGCTGGCGAGAATTTTGTTTAGAAGAAAAAAAATAATTCTTTACTTTGTTTTATGCTTGTTGTTTGTTGGATGGTTTTGTATTTGTGGTGTCATTTGTATTATTTGTAAAACTACCGTATGGTATGAATACTCCACAGTGAGAGGAAAAATCCGAAGACCGTGGTATAATACACAATATATGTGGTGTGGTTATTTTACCTGACTGTATGACGCTTAGAGACGGTATTTCGTATTTAATAAGCGCTGTGTAAATCGAGATTTATCACTGTTATTAATGAAAATATGTACATATATATATCTCAGATCCGCAAGAAGTAGGCTATATGATGTTTAAATATTAACATAATGTGCGCGCATCGTTTGCGTCCATTGGTAGTTGTCCGGGCCGGTAGTCCCGGTACAGGTTGCCATCGAATCATGATAGATTAGCATGCAGGGTTTAATACCCGCATTGCACTTTAAGACTCTCCTGCCAACAATCTAGTTTTTCCCAATTGTCAAGTAAAAATCGATATTGAATGCTAATAGATTCCAGTGGAAAGCATGAAACGAAATTAGAGAATACTTTTGACATCCCTCAGCTCACTCCCTATCCCATCATGAACTCTTCAAATGCCAGTGAAAGAAGCAAGAACAAGAACTGTTATTGATTTTCGCTGAATATACGTCTATCCTCCACACATTTACCACGCATAGATACGGGTATGGATTTTTGTGGGCGAGAGTGCATTACAAAAACATTTTGTGAGATCGAATATAGGGTGTTGAAAGCGTGTATAAAATACTAGATGAAATAGGAATTGTTAAAATGTGCTTTTTATCTAAAGAAGGAAAAGAGTTGCAATTGATTTGTGATTAATGTACGTCACTCTACATGAGTAGCACGCTATGGATTTTGTTGTGATGCAATCGGCTTACTTATTAATGTTTGCTCATGACAATGAAATGTGTATAGATTGTTGCGCCCACGTCATGTATGTGGCCAGCGCTTAGAAAAAGAAATAGCAGTATAGGTAATTAGTAGTCCTTGACGCTTCAACTATATATTTTTTTCGTTTGATTTGTTTTAATTTAGAGGATTGTAATTTGCTTCCATGTAGTTTATACCGGTGATACCCCAGAATTATACCACCAATCCGACTCCACACTAGGCCGGTTTTCAACAGCTCGAGATTGCCGAATATCCCGATATTTTAACTATCCCGAGCGCAAATTATCCAGGTAATTTGCATCTTCATCACCCCGAAGTTGCAATTATCGGGATATTTGGTCGAGATAATCATCC